CTTCCTCGCTTCCAACCCCACTCCCCTCTGGTTCCTTTTGTTCTTGTGGCTCTCTGCTTAGAAAAATAAGTTGCCGTCACCTTCTGATTCTTTTGCTAGTTTTACTCCATATTTTCCATTCACTTTATTCTGTTAATTTAAAAACTGTGTGTCCTGATTTTAGAGAGGGAAGAATGGAGGGAGGAACATCGATAAGAGAAACATTGGTCGGTTGCCTCCCGCGCACGCCCCGACCAGGGATCGCTAAGCCCTGACCAGGGAGGGATCGAACCCCCAACCGTTGATGGCCAGGGGGAGGGCACTACAACCAACGGCTCTACAACCAACTGAGTACACTGTCCAGGGCTCTATTCTCTCTGTGCTTAATATCATGCCAGGTGCTAAAGTGATCTTTCCAAAAACAAATTATTCACATCTTCTTAAAAGTTTTCAATGTGCCTTGCAGCATCTGGGATGAAATCAAAACTTGCGAGAGGAAGTTTGATCCGAAAAGCTGTTCACAGTCTGGACGTTGTCTTCTCAGCCTCAGGTGCCCTCCCACCACCCGTTTCTCGCCCGACTTACAGGCACCCAAGTCCTGGAAAGAGCCCTGTTTTCTGTCCCACGAGGCCCTCCCACACGCTGACCCTCGCGCCTCCGTTGTCGTCGTCTTCCCAGGACTCATGCCTGCCTTGCCCCTCGTCTCGTTCTCCTTGCTCACGCGCCTGCCTCCCGGGTGTCACTCGTGATGGGGCTCAGCTGTCACTCCCTCAGAAGGGCCAGCTCGCACCCTGGGCCTCCGGATGCCCGCGGGCCGTGGGGGTGTCTCCGTCACCGTGTTTATGACACGCCCTTGCAATGACCTACCTAGACGGACCTGCACTGACCTCTTCCTCCAACAGACCGTGGACCCTTTGAGTCCGAGAGCAGATCGTGTTTACCTTCGCATCCACAAGTACCTAACAGAGAACCCGCCGCGGTGCTCCGGAAATGGGCGGGGGCCGTTACAGGAAGGAAATGCATCTACCTTTCAGGACCCCACACATTCGGGGACCAAGAGTAGAAATAAGGGGGCCGTCCCGCCCTTCTCCACATATTATATAGGTGATATTTGGTTGAAGGAAATTCCCAAACAGTGAAAGGAAACGCGCTATGCACGCAGAAGCGCAGCCACGGCTCGCCCACAGGGCTGAGGCGGCCTAGTGACCAGTCTGTATGCTTCTGCGCATGTGCAGCTCCTGCCGGTGGCGGCAGCACTGGCCGCTTCCCTCTGCGCATGTGCAGCACTCCCGCCAACCGCGCCCCCTGCCTTGGCACCGCCCGCTCCCGGGTGCTGGGCCGCTTTGCTTCTGCGCATGTGCAGCTTCTCCCGGTGGCGCAGGCCCGCTCACGAGCGCCGGCCGCTTCGCAGGCGCGTGGCCGCAGAGGCCGGCGGTAAACGCCTCAGAGCATTGAGCTTAGCTGCTGGGATCCCCTGCCTTTCAGTCAGCGCGGAAACGTGTTACCTTTCCTCGCTCCCTCTAACATCTGTGCGTGGGGCCGGTGTGAGGAAACGAGCCCTCGATTCTGCTCACAGACTCCTGAAATACCTCCCAAGAGCTGGCGTTCGGTCAGGCACTTTCCAGTCAGAAAGTGGCGTGCTCACCACCAGCCCGACGAGCAATGGCCACGTGACCGAGCGGAGGAGAGGCAGCCACGAGTGTGTGTGATGCTTCCCGCGTCTCCTCCTTCCGCGGTACAGTACCCCGGGTGGCTCCCCGTCCTGACAGGCTGCCTTCGTCTTTACAGGAGACCGGCGCCGTTGTCTTCCCGGAAGCCAGAAGGCCATGGTGGCAGCAAGCCCGAGACGGCCAGCTCGGCTCCCAGGCCCGGAAGGCCCCCGGCAGTGAGATCTCCGCGCCGCGGAAGCGCCTCGCGGACGGCGGGGCCTGCTGCCAAGGAAGCACAGCTGTAGCACAGCCGCATCGCCCCCCCACCCCCGACTGTCTTTCCCACAGCGGCCGTTGTCATTGCCAGGCTTCCCTGCTTCGTGCCGGCGGCTTCCCGAAGCGGTGTCTGCGCGCTTCCCTGAATGAGACGCCGGCGCTGCACAGGCAGAGCAGACTCCGTGCTGGTCATCGTGGTCCGGACAGCAGGTGGACGCCGCAGCGCTCGTGCGAGCGACAGCTGGGCCTCGTGACGGAAGGCGGGAACAACGTCCACGGGTGGGCGCCAGCCTCTGTCCGGGTAAGTTTCAGGTCCCACCGCCCAGGAAGCCTTCAGTCGTCCAAACTGACCGACGGGGGAATGACAGGTAACTTGTCAACCATCAACCCGAACAGGAGAGCATATGCGGGCTTCTCAGAAGCACGGACACAGCCGCGGCTGGCCTGGCTCCGCGGGCTGGACACCGGCCTGCACACCACGGGGTCGCCGGTTCGATTCCCGGCCAGGGCCCAGGCCTGGGCTGTGGGTCAGGTTCCCAGGAGGGGGCCTGCAAGGGGGCTTTCAGGTAGAATAACCCCCTTGAGTATTTCCTGCATTGGAGGTGTACTGGTGGTAAATTCCCTCAGCTCCTGTATGTCTGGAAAAGTCTTTATTTCTCCTTCATATTTAAAAGATTGCTGGATATATTTTTGGCAAGTAATTTCTCTCTCTCAGTAGTTTGAATATTTGGCCCCACTCTTCTGGCTTGTGGAGTTTCTGCTGAGAAGTCTGAGGAGAACCTAATGGGCTTTCCTTCACAGATTACTATCTTCTTTTCCTTGGCTGCTTTGACAGTTCCTTCTTTGTCATGAATTCTTGGCAGTTTTAGTACTGTGCGCCTTGGAGAAGGCCTTTCTGGATTGAGGTAACGAGGTGTTCTGCGTGCTTCTTGGACTGGAGGATGGAGCTCTCTCCCTCGATTTGGGAAGTTCTCGCCCACCATGTGTTGGAATCAGCTCTCCCTTCCCTTCTCCCTGTCTTCTCCTTCTGGCATGCCTGTAATTCTTTCGGTGCTCTTTCTGATGGAGTCGGATCGTTCTTCCAGATGTCGGATCTTTCCTTCTTTGATGCCGGTCTCTATCTTCCACCGTCTGTGTCATTCCTAGATTTCCCTCTTTGATTTCACTCACTTTTTCCTCCATCTGGACAGTTCAATGTCCTAAGCTCACTCCTTCATTATTTGTCTCTTTTACTGAGTTCCTCACCCGCAGAATTTCTATTCGGTTCTTTTTAAAGTCTACATCTCTTTGGTAAAGCACCGGTGGTGTTAATTGATTTGTTTTCTGACTTCATTACACTGCCTGTCAGTGGTTATTTTACTTTATTTTATTTTTATCTTTTCGAATTTTTTTCAGAACTGCTACCTTGAGTACTCTGTCATTCGAATGATATATTTCCATGTCTTTGAGTTTATTTTTGGGAAAACTGTAAGCTTCTTTCTGGGCTGCCTCATTACCTTCGTTATTGATGGTTTTTAATGGGTTCCCTCTCTGTCTAGGTATCTATACATGAGCGGCATCTCTCTGGTAGAGCCATAAGAAGTCTTCCTGTTGCTTTTCAGTAGACGTCACTGAAGCACAGACTTTCTAGGATTTTTGCTCAGCTCTGGCCTCTCAGATCTCTGTGGGGCCATGAAGGAGCCGCTTGCTCCCTGGGAAGGTGGGCATCTCCTCTGCGACCGGGGAGCCTGCCTCCCAGGGCACTGAGAAGGCCCTGGGGCATGAGGCGGGCAATTGGAGTCCGCGTCCCTGAAGCCCCAGCGCAGGGCCCTGCAGCTGCACGCGGCGGGCAGCGCGGCAACCACGGGCGCAGGGGTCGGCGGTGGGGGTGAGCTGGGCGAGGCCGGCTGGCGCCTCAAGGCTTTGTTCTCGCAGCCCCGGAGCCTGGCGCCCCCCAGTGCCCTCTCTCCGTGTCTCCCCCGGCCCCTGGGGCGAGCCGCGGGGCGCACCTGTCATTCGGGCGAACATGGTTTGCGGTTTGCGGTTTGCGGTCCTCGTGTTGGCAGATCTTGTGCTCCGCAACGCCACACGCACTGTTAAAGCTTCTTCGGGGGCTGCGGCGACATCTGGGGGGGGGTAGCGGGGGCTCCGGGGGGCTCTGTTTTTGTGTCCATAGACGGGGGGCGAGCTCAGGAATGAGGGTGGCAGGGAGAGGGATGAGCTCAAAGCCTGGGGGTGGCCTGTTCTCGGGGTGAGTCTGGGCGACGGACGGGTGGGGGATGCATGCAACCGCCCTTGTTCCTTTGGATGACTCTCAGTGGGAGAAAGGGGGGCCTGGGACCCCACTAACCAGGCAGGGCGCCCGCACTGAGCCAGCCAGGGAGCCGGGGTCCTTCCACCCTGCCCCCTTCACCTTCCCAGGCCTCTCACCTGCCTCCCCATCCATCAGCCCCCCCTGGGTCCCACCTCCAATCCCCCTCCAAGGACCCCCTGCCCCTCCACCCCCCATTGCCTTCCATGGTCCCTCCCACTCTGCCCCCCCTCGCCGTTCTGCTCCATGGTCCCTCCCACCCCAAACCCTCTCATTCAAGTCCCCTCTCCCCTGGCCCCGCCCCTTCCACCGACTTGCTGATGTCATCCACGGGCCCTATGACATCACATAACGGCTCCCCTCCCGTCTCCAGGCAACCACTGTGTACGGCAGAGCTGAGGGCGGAGGCAGGCGGCCGGCAGGAGTAGTAGGTCCTGTCAGGGGACAGCAGTGCCTACAGTCAGCGCCGCCTTGGGGCTCAGACGCAGAGGGAGACATTCCAGGTGCAGCCAGCAATGCAGGAGCCCGCGATGGAGGAGCCAGGGACCAGCGGAACACAGGTGAGCAGTGGCCCCTTAGGTCCAGCCGGGTCCCCAGCGGTCCCTTCCTCCCCCCGCCCCCCCGGCCCTGTCCCCCGACACCCGCCTCACACCCGCAGCCCGCCTTCGGCCTCCTGACCCACCGACCTGGGGGGTGGCTGCCCCTCTAACCCGTGGCCCCGGAACCCACGCCCACCCTCCCCCACGGTCCCCCTGACCCGTGGTCCCCCTTGTCCCTTGCAGGACGCCGCGACACGGCCCGTTCCCATGGACCAGTCCAACGCTCTTAGGCGCCTGAACAAGGAACTGAGGGACATTACCAAGGACCCCCCTCCCCTGTGCTCGGCAGGGCCGGTGGGTGAAGACATATTCATTTGGAAGGGCGCCATCACGGGCCCAAACGACAGTCCGTACGAGGGAGGGGTCTTTTCTCTAAGCATTCGCTTCCCATGCGATTACCCTTTCAGACCCCCACGCATTACCTTCACCACCCCAATTTACCACCCCAACATCAGCAGACGAGGGTTTATCTGTCTGGACATCCTCAAGTCCCAGTGGTCCCCTGCACTCTCCATATCCAAAGTCCTGATATCTATAAGCTCCATGCTGTGCGACCCCAACCCTGATGACCCCTTGGTCCCATCCATTGCAAGAACCTACTTAACGGATAGGGACGCCTATAATGCCATGGCCCGAACTTGGACCAGGAAATATGCGATGTGAGTGAAAAGTAAATGACCAACCATCACCTTAATAAAACACCTGGTTGCCGAATCGGCTGTCTTGTGACTGCTCTCTGGGAAGCGTCGTTTCCCCATCTTTCTGGGCACACGGTGCGCACCTGCCACATGAGGGCGTGTGGGGGGGGAGGCAGGGGGTGGGGCCAGGTTGGGGGTGGGGGAGGCATGGGGGTGGGGCAAGGTTGGGAGGTGGGGAGGCATGGGGGTTGCACACCTGCCACATCAGGGGGTCTGTGGGGGGTGGAGGAAGCATGGGGTGGGGCAAGGTAGGGGGAGGGGGAGGCATGGGGTGGGGCAGGAGTGTGGGAGGGGAGGCAGGGGTGGGGCCAGGTTGGGGGAGGGGGAGGCAGGGGGTGGGGCCAGGTTGGGGGAGGGGGAGGCATGGCGTGGAGCCAGGTTAGGGGATCCGTGAGTGTGAGAGAGACCAGTTTTAGCCAACATTTCACTAAAAGCCTGCTGCCCGGATTCAAGACGGGAAAGCAAGAACCGGGGGGGTGGTGTGTGTAGGGTGAGCCCTTTAGAGCGGACGATGGTGAGGAAAAACCGGGTGAAGATTAGAGAGCTTATCAGGTACCTATTTTATTCGGAAGAACCTGTGTCTTCAGCTGTTTTGTTTTTGACCCAGATTCATATTAACCCATCTACTCTGAGGTCTAAATTTAAGTGGACAAAAATTAGGTGGATGAGGAGCTGTTACAAAATAAATCAATGTTTTCTGTTCCCAGAATCCCCCGCCTCCCACTCTGCAGCCCGCCCCTTTGGAGCAGTCGGCCCCCTGCGCACCGTGCGCTGTGCCCCGCTTCCCAGGACACCCCTGTTTACAGGAGCTGATCCTTACCAGCAGCCCAAGTGCCCATCAGCAGATGAGTGGATACAACAACTCTGGGGCCCTTACACAGTGGAGTGGGACGTGGCTGTGAGCAAAGAAAAAATCTTACCCTCCGTGACAGCACGGAGGGACCTGGGGAACACAGTGCTCAGTGAAATAAGCCAGGGGGTGAAAGGCAACTGCCGTATGATCTCACTCACGTGGTATCAAATGAACAACCTGAACTAACAAGGAATTTGGGGACCGACTCATAGATGGAGAGCAGATGACGGTTGTCAGAGAGAAAGGGATTTGGCAGCTGGGCAAAAAAGGTGAAGGGATGAAGGAAAAAACCCCCGAGACACAGACAGCGGTATGGTGATTACCAGAGGGAAGGGGGTGGGGGAGATGCAGTAGAAGAAGGTAAAGGGGGGATGCACAGCGATGGAGGGAGTCTGGACTCGGGGGAGTAAACACAGACGACCCCATTCAGATGGTGTGTTACAGAAGTGTACGCCAAAACCTGTATAACCAGAGTCATCCCCAATAAATGCAATTTAAAAAAAGAAAAAGAGAAGAAACTTCTTACTGAGTTTCATCCTTTTCTGTACGAAAGCGTCCCTTCCCACTCTTGTCCCTGGAGTGCTGTGACTGAGCAGCTCCACCAAATTCCGGAGGCAGAGGTTTGGGGAGAAAGGAAAGGAGTCTTTAGTCAAAAGCTACACAATGTTGGAATAACGGCTTTCCACATGCATTAGTTAGTTAAGCCTATCCATTAAGGTTGAACTCTTTTACTCTTTTGTGACAGCTTTAGTCACTTAGGCCTATCAATGAAGGCTAAAATCTTTACCTCCTGAGTTCTATCATTCCCCCTGTTAGTTATTAATTATCTTATTTCTATAAGGTAGTGTACAAAATAAAAAAAACATAAAGATATGAAAGCTGCCCAATGCTGGAAGGAGGGCAGGCTTGTGCCTCAGAGCCCGTCCCCTGCAGGACCCCCAAAGAGGAAACCCCTGCCCCGCTCGGCCAGGCCAGCCGGACCCTAGGCTGTGCCCGGAGTTCGTTCTCCCATGGAAAACACCGTCCTGTGGGACACGCAGGCAGCTGCGGCTCCATCACCCAGGCATCCTCGGGGAAGACGGCCTGACAGCCAGAGTCTACCCTCCTTCGATCTGAAATCTTCCAGCCCTTAATTCCATGCCTCAGGCAACCCCCTCCTATGGCCCCTCCTACTTCTCCCCAGTGATCTGGTCAGAGCTCTCGGCTTCACTCCTCACCCCTTCCAATTTGGGGCTGCCTGATTCAAATAAAGTTTTGCTCAAATAAACCCCTAAAATTAAAAAATAAATAAAATGTAAACTACTTTAAAAATGAATGAAAGCTTTCAGGTGAAAGACAGTGGATCAAGACAACATTTATAAAGCATTATATTACATCGACCCTTCCCCTCCTCTCCCCAAATTTGCCTTAGGTAACTGGGTGAACAAGCTTCCCAGATTATTTAATGCTTATAGTCATGGTCCAAACAAAGCAGGGATTTATTGCCGCACAATGGTAAGAATGGCGAACTTTCGTAGAGCACGTCTTGTTTGACAGGCATTTTTGGAAGTGTTCATGCATATCCTCTCCATTTCTGTTTAGCGAGTGACACCGAAAGCCACCCCCCGCTGGCGTGGGCAGGGGAAGGGGCAGCGGCATGAGGTACCTACACGGGCGCTAAGCCCAGAGGAACGGGTGAGAGCTCATCAAGTGGAGAAGGGACAGAAGAGCGTGGTGGATGGAAGGACACGCTCACAGGGAGAACAGGAGGAGAAAGGACACTGTGTCTCTTCATTCACCTTCAGAATGACCGCGCCACCGAGTATTGGGGGGCAGGTCGAGGCCTCACCGTGCATGAGCGGAGGTGCCATGCTAAACAGAACCGCAGACTTGACCCCAGAGGCGAGAAAGGACCGTTCAATACTGGGAACCGCAGAGTGACGCGGTCAGAATTCAAAGTGCAAGAGGCTGCTCAAATAGGCAGGCCCCGTGGGAAGGTATTTGGAGGCTCCACGTGAGAGATGATCCGGGTCTGAGTGACGGGGTGTGAGTGAAGGCGCAGGCGACAGGGCAGACAGGACAGATGTTGCAGACGCGGCCTTCGTGAGATCAGGGTGCTCGTTTGCGGCAGGCTGGAGGGTGGTGTGGGAAAGAGGCAACTCGCCGGATTTTCAGAAACTCAGATAGCTTTTAGGAGAATTGTGCGGCAGTTCAGCTGAGAAAAGATGAGCAACTGTAACCAAGCAAGTGAGCGCTCTGCTGCCTGCCACAAAGAAAGCCAAACTCATGAGGCAGGTGCGGGTGCAAAAGGAGAGGTTTATTCAGGTGCTAGGGCCTGAGAGAATGGTGGACTCTTGTCTCAAAGACCAGCCCCCCTTCTTGCTCCAGCCTGAGGTTCTTATTGGGACGGGGGAGGGATGGGATTTTTCTATGCAATTGTCCTGCTTCCCTTGGCTAAGCTCGGGCCCTGTCCATTCATCTTCCTGCCTTTAGGACCCTCTGTGTAAGAACTGCCCCCTGCGCCATCTTGGCCAATGAGGGCGATTCCCCGGCTCTCCTACTGACTGTCTACAATAACAGGACCAGAATAGAGAACTCTGAGTAAAGGTAGGTGTGTTGGTTTGCTAGGTTTGCCATAACAAAATACCATAGAATGGGTGACTTAAACAACACAATTTATCTGCTCACAGTTGTGGTGGCCAGGAAATCTGGGGTCCGCGTGTACTTGGGGTTGGCTCCTTCTGAGAGCTGGGCAGGAAGGAGCTTTTCCTGGCCTCCCTCCTGGGCGGGACATGTCCGTCTTCTCCCTGTGTCTTTACATCCTCTGTATGTGTCTGTGTCCAAATTTCCTCTTCTTATAAGGATGTGGGTCTTGTTGGATTAACGGCCACTCTAATAACCTCATTTTACCTTAATTACCTCTTTAAAGACCCTATCGGCAAATAAAGACACATTCTGAGATACTGAGGAATCACATTTCAAACCCTTCTTAACCTTCTTAAATGAAAAATACATTTACCTTATCCCGATAGACCCAACAGTCTTAACCCATTCCAGCCTCAATGCTAAATTCAATGAACAGGTGTGCTAAAATGGTATCAAAGTGGCTCTACCTACTACACAGACACAGGGAGGCTGCCAAAATCAGGAGACAAAGAAACATGGCCCAAATGAAGGAACAGAACAGAACTGCAGAAACAGAACTAAGTGATGTGGAGATAGTCAACCTATCACATGCAGAATTCAAAATACTGGTGGCCAGAATGCTCAAAGATCTGACTGACTATGGCAAACACATAAGGGAAGACATGAAGGTTCTAGTAAGGGAAATAAAGAAAAATCCAGAGGAAACCAACAGTGAAGGGAAGGAAGCCAGGATTCAAATCAACAATTTGGAACATAAGGAAGAAATAAACATTCAACCAGAACAAAATAAAGAAATAAGAATTGAAAAACACAAGGAAAGTTGAAGAAGACTCTGGGTCATCTCCAATTGTGCCAACATTCAAATCATAGGGATGCCAGAAGGACAAGAGGAAGAGCAAGAAATTAAAAACCTAATTGAAAAAATAATGAAACAAAACTTCCCTAGTCTGGTGAAGGAAATGAATATACAAGTCCAGGAAACACAGAGAGTCCCAAACAAGTTGTACCCAAAGAGGACCACACCAGGGCCCGTCAAAATTAAAATGCCAAAGGTTAAAGATAAGCAATCTTAAAAGCAGCAGAGAAAGGCAGAGAGTTACCTACAAAGGAGTTCCCATAAAACTATCAGCTGATTTATCAACAGAAACTTTGCAGACAAGAAAGGGTTGGCAAGGACTATACAAAGTGATGAAAAGCAAGGACCTACCACCTAGATTACTGTACCCAGCAAAGCTATGATTTAGAATGGAAGTGTGGATAAAGTGCTTCCCAGGCAAAGTAAAGCTAAAGAAGTTCATCCTCACCAAGTCATTGTTACATAAAATGTTAAAGGGACTTATTTAAGAAAAAGATCAAAACTACTATGTAAGACTGCTAGGACCACAGATTTTAGTTCCCAGGTAGCAGCTCCAAAGCACTAAGTAGGAACCCAGCGATCTCTCACTCCCGGTAAGAAATCCATTACACTGACCTTTGGTGGTTGGCTG